TGTAATTCATTTTTTGCCAGCAGGCAATCCAAATTATTTAAAACTTTATTAAAGTCTTCCTCACAATTTGCCCCCAAGGAATGTGTTGAACTCAAATTATTAACAAGTAATGTTTTATAAATACTTTGAAATTGTAGACATGTAGGATTGTTGTTTCTAGCCCCGTGGCTTCTTACCGAGGAGAAAAAGTTTTCCAAGGGATCTTGATTAAAATTACGCATCAAAATACTCTTGACGTTGTATTTGTCAAATAAATATTGCAACATACCTTTTATAGTGTCAATGTTATGTATCCAATCCTTCTTCTAAATCTAATCTTCCATATAAAATTTTTTGTGCTGCGTCTTTTATTTGGCGGAATATTATTGGGTTTAGACCTGTTTTCAAAGTTTTTTTTTAAGTACATCCTGCAATGTCCTCTTTGAGGGCAAGGTAAATAATTTTCTTAGAAAATTATAGCCTTTGGGACTTCTTTTATAAATTGACAAAGCCAATAATTTTTCTTCAATATTAAAACGCCTTCCACGGCCTCTTTTATTATGCTGAGTTAATTGCATATTTAGCAATGTCTGAGCAGGCTTCGATAATGTTTTCAAAACCTTTTGAAATAATTTCGTCTTTGAGATTTTGTCTGCTGCTTTTATTTGATTTGTTTGACATTTTATTTGTTTTTTTTTTAAATCTGTATTTTATGTAGAATTTTCTTCATTTTCGTACTTCTTTTAATCAATGTACCTGAAAAAGTATGACAAACAGGTAAGCATATAGAGATCAGTAAAAATAATGACAGCATAGTTCGGATTGTATTGGAATCTCTTTTTAATGGAAGATTTTTAATTGCAACTTTTGCCTTATTATTATATAATGTATATTTACAATATGCCAGTTGAATGCTTTTGGAGCTGGCGCGATGCTGCAATGTGCACAGTGCGAAAAAGTAGCATTCCTACTGCATGGCTTGTGGACCAGTGATAACAAAATTTTGAAGTTACATCTGTAAGAGTTTTTCTACATTTGAGCCAGGAGCGGTTTCTCTCAGAGTCCTAGTTACTTCAGATGCAATGAACACAAGGTACGACCATGATTAATCATTTCCTAGAATTGACTACAGGAGTAATTTCAGTCAACTGCCTACCCCACATGCTATTTACCTTGTGCGTTGTGAGCCAGGTTTAGATATATAGCCTTTTTACTTGTTTCGTCTATGAAAAGATTCACAGCATATGACATCCTAATGTCGTACTTCTTATTATTATAGTAAATTCCAGCAAACTTACTGGTATAGTAATAGAATATATATAATTAAGAATTTGTTAATATTATACTACCACCAGAGAATTTTCCAGACCGATACAACTTGGGACTCAAAAAATTTCTTTTTTGAAGGCTGGCAATGCATCTATAATTCCCCTGGTGTTGTGGTCCTTCATGGGCGGCGGTAGTCACTTACTATCAGGTGAGCCACATATTTGTTTCCTCCTCCCCCCAACTCCTTAAAAAAATAAATAAATAGGTACCTCTTATGCGATTCACACGTGAACTTGTACCAGAAATTTGTGTAGAAAGTACGTCTGGTATATGTGACGTGGGTTCAAGTTTCTGCATGTAAACCTGTAAAAGTAGTGAAAGTATATGAGTAACACATAACTTTCTTTATTGGACTTGTTTTATAATAATAATAATAATAATAATATATTTTTAATTCAGACCATAGTCCATATAAAAATGTGTTAGTAAACAATTAACTTATATAACTATGTTAATACAAAATGTGTTAGTGACTATTACTTATGCTATGTTAGTCCTTAATCTACCTTAACCTATTCAGCACCAGCGTGGGCGCTGAGGCCTAGTGCCGGTGTGCACATCATTCCAGCTCCTCCAGAGAGGGCTGTCTAGCTTAGAGGCCAACGCGCTGAGGAGGGTGTTAGTGCTTCTCACAAGCCTGCTCATCATGGACGCGGCACGCTTTCGCACAATCGCGTAGAAGTCATCCACACGACTGTCCGCAAACATTGCCGACGCACTGCAGTTTCGGGGCTTCCTCAACACCGCCCTCAGCACATTGTTGTATTGCACTCTCAGGGCGCCGTAGGTCCGCTGCGAATAGCCCGTCCACAGACTGCACGTGTAGAACGATTGGCAGTAAGCTTTAAACAACGTTATCTTAACCTGCTTTGTACACCGTGCAAATCTGCGGGCCAACATGTTGCCTCTCACCGCCAGCGCCCGGCGCTCGCGTTCAATGTCGCTGTCATCCTTCAGGCTGTCGGTTACTATATGGCCAAGGTACCTGAACTCAGTAACCTGTTTAAGGGGACACCCACATAGTTGAAAGGTGGGTTTCAATATGGGTAGCTTATTTTTCCCCTTGAACACAAGAAACTCACTTTTGTTGGAGTTGTAACTGAGTCCATGTACCTTAGCATACCCTTCACAAATTTGTATTAATCGGCTAAGACCACTGATTGAGGGGCTCAACAGAACCATGTCGTCAGCATAACTAATGTTGTTTATACTGACCCCATCTACCGAACAACCGACACCAGCTCTACTGAGGCTCACAATCAGTTGATTTACATACAAATTGAACAGCCTAGGTGACGTCAGCCCTCCCTGCCGTACTCCACACCCCAGGCTATAATCTTCGCTCAACGCATCATCCCATCTCACCACATTTTTCTGGTTACCATACCAATACTCGAACAAAGCGATTAGCTCAGGCTTTAAACTGGTTTCGTTCCTAAGCTTTTGCCACAAGATTTTGTATAGCACTCGATCAAACGCTTTAGACAGATCCAAAAAGCAAGCATATACCGGTGTTTTTCTATCAGTGTAATACCGCACAGTCTGCTTGAGGCACAGTATTGCGCTCTCTGTTGAAAGTTCCGGTCTAAAACCAAACTGCGCATCGTGTACTTGGAAAGATTTACGTAACTGCGCGTCAAGCAGACTGTCGAGGACTTTAGCTGTTATTGTTGCCAAGGATATCGGCCTATAATTGGATCTGTCCGCCGCATCGCCCGTCCTGTTTTTAATAATAGGCACTACCACTGTTCTCATCATAGCCTCTGGAAGGTAACTGTGGCTTACACAAAGATTGTACAGTAGCTTGAGGACTCTGGCAATGTGCACACCCGCATATCTCAAATGTTCAACGCTGAGGCCATCGTGTCCCGGCGACTTACCACGTTTCATGTTTCTAATTGCATCATTCACTTCCTTGAAAGTGAAACGCAAGGGGCTAATCCCCGAGTTCACGATGTCCTCACCGTCGTCCAAACTACAAACTATCTTGCTAGGATCCACTTTGAACTGAGCCTTGAACATATTGGCAATGTTTTCACTTCCAGTTATGCCACCCACTTCTGCTGGAAGAGGCACCCGAGCATTCAGGCCTTTCGTTTGCTGCCAGAACTCTCCGAATTTCTTCGCCTCACATGACATTGCTAATATGTCCATCTTGATTTGTTCCGCATTGTCTTGGCACCACTTAAGCTTGCTCTTAAAAACCCTGCGCGAGTCTCGCATATCCTCATACAGAGCTCCACATGTCGGCCGCCCTGCCCAAACCCAGGTTTGAAAGCAGAGACGAGCCTTTATATGCGCCGGTCTCACATGTCTATTCCACCCTGTGATGTAGCCTTTCTTATTTCGTTTTAAACATTTATGGCTGTAACTCGCAGCATCCAGCAATATAGATGTAATATCGTCATACAATTTCTCTATGACTAAGTTGTGTTCCGGTTTGTCACACATCTTATCAGAACAATCCCTCAATTCCGCCGGAAAGTCAAGTAGCCTTAGCCAGCTATTACAAAATTCAGCATACAGTTTTATCTGATCACTATCTCTGTGACCCCAGATTACCTTATTATCCGCCGTGTACTGAGCTGACTTCACTTGAGGTCGGACTAAGTTGAATTTACAGTAAACTTCCAGAGGATAATGATCAGACCATGTCACATTGGTTTTAACATGTATGCTGTCAATATATTTGCTAGCCATACTAGTTGTAAGGCAATGGTCTAACCAGCGCGAGCAGCCGTGACTATCACTAATATATGTATATACATCAGTATTATTAGATAAAAATTCATAATCAGAACATACCCACGCCTGCTCGCTACAAAACTGAGACAATTCATTAAAAAATAACTCTCCAGGATGTGCGTTAAAATCGCCTAAGATAAAAACAATATTAATTCCGCAGTCCTCGACAATTGCATTAATTTCACTTAGGCACTCTGTGAACTCGAAAAGATTATCGGTGCAGTCAGTAGGCATATAAACCGAGAAAATTAGCATAGTATACCCACGAAGCTGGCATTTGATCGCACACAATCTCACACTGTTACATTTCACTACTGACACGGATGAAAACATATTTCTACGCCATAATAGCGCGACGCCTCCGTGTGGACGGCCGCGCAAAATGCCGGCGCTTGTGTCTACAGCCGTTGTACCCGTTGCTTCGAAGTCTTTGTGTACAGTGCCAAGGTATGGAAGGTCAAAATCCATCAGCCAGGTCTCTTGAATAGCGACCACCGACGCTCCCTCGCATAAGCTTCTCACACAATCAACCGACCGCTTCAGGGACTTACAATTGAAACTGACTAACTTCAACGTGTGACATTTATTTTTATCATTAGTTTTGTGTTGGTCCATTAATATTTCGGTCCTTATCTCGATTTACATTTGCCTTTCTTGCATGCCTAAAAATATATAACGCCTGAAAAATATGCCCTCCAGCCATAATTCTTTATTACTAAATAACGACAGTTTGCTCCTAGGTATCAAAAACTTAAAGGAACTATAGTCCCTAGAAGATTTCATATTTATCTTTTCTGGCACTATTCTTATCTGAGTCTTTTGTTGTATATATTCCGCTACATCATGTTCAGTATTTTCTTTTGAGACATTATATATATACAACGGGATTTGTGTGTCCGCTGCTTTCAATCTCGAAGTCGAGTCTGTCATCGCTGTACCTCTCTCACCTTTGAAACGCGATGTACGTGTTCCTCGACGCCTCACTACACGAACCCACTCCCCTTCACTATCATTCTGCAAACCACCTTCATTCAAATCAACCGCCGCCGCCGGTATAACACTGCGCCGTGACGTCACCTCATCGGTTACACGATGCGCGAGCGCTTCATTGTTCACAGTGCCCTGCCTTATAATATCATTTTCGCTCCGGACACTCTCGCTACGCACTCTATTTGGATAGTGCATAGGTGCGACAGGGATAGATGGCTCGGTTAACACCGCCGGTGCATCTCCCAGCATAGACGGTGACTCATGCACTACGCCCGAACTCCGTGACCTCATCGGAGGCGATGTGACATTCTCTAGGCCGGTCATTAACCCCGACTGCCCGCTATTACAATAATAACTTTCATTCATGCAATAACCGCCTCTTTTAGCGTTTACATAGGGAGTATATTCTTTTAACTCAGAGGGAGATACCTTATCCCTAACATTGCATTGCATTTCGCCTTTGCATTGCGTTTTATAATGTTCAAAATCATTTTTCGTGATAAAATCTTCTTGCTTCTCTTGCAAATCCCTTACCTGCTTCTGTATTACAATATATCCTTTAGGAGACGTGTAGCGTCGACGTGGTCAAACGAAACCGGCGGCAACTTTTGGAGATCCTTTGCCACAAAAATTGGGATGTGTTCGGGATCAGTACCTTTTAATGCCGAAATTATATCGTCTATGTTTTTCTGCTTGCTGTCCTCCCCTTTCCTTTTTACCAACCGCTGCGGAATGGACTCGAAAAGCAGACATTTTGCTTTAAAGATATCTTCGTCATCAAAAGACTGCCGGCAAATTAGAGCCAGGCTCACATTGTTCATTACATCTATTTTGTTTTGCACAAAACTAAGAACCTCATTCACCACTAAATTACAGTTGTTACACTTTAGCGTATTCATTATATCGCAAGAGGTCAGCGACCTCTGTCTAACCGCACGCGCTGTCAGCTGGCGACTGATTTATACACTGCTACATACCAATTATATTAATGTCCTCGAGACCAAATTTTATAGTGCCAAAGTGTATGTGCAAGCAATAGGTCATCTCATAATCTAATGGGGCGGTATTTCCTCATGACCGGAAAAAGAGAACACAGGACTAACAGCTTTACGTGCTTTCCAAGGCAAGGGGGTGAAACACAGCTAATTTATTATCTCCAGACTGATGCTGAGAATGTCTTGATAGATATACCCAAAAATGTACCCAAAGATATACCCAAATATAATAAGCAAAATAATAAGCATGTAAGATTTCTTCATAAATGTTTATTTCTTACAGTTCAAAATAACATTACAAAGTTATAATGCAGCTATTTTTGTCATTTTCTATGGAATTGTAATGCAATTTTTACTAATCCAACTTATTAACTAGTTAATTCTGATTTGCTGCGATAGTCTTCCTTTAACTTCATTATACGAGTATATGCTACCATTGAGTATACTTTCCACATCTAGAAAAACAGCAGTTTAGTTGGTAGAGGGGACACATGACTGATGAAAAATACTACTAAAGCTTAATATTTCACAAACAAACCCCTGAATCATAAAGATGTTCTTCCATATTCCCAATGGTTTTGAAAGATATCTATCCATATATGAGATCTATCCAATGATACCATACACGATGGAATACATGAATAAAAAAAACGTCATTCATTTACCTGTATAGGAGGTACCCAAAATAAAAATGTTTTTAAGATTTTATTTTACAGTTTCGTAGGCGTGATTAATAGCTATAATTAAGCCAAATTACAAAGGGCATTGCCCATTTTCGGCCATGGAACGCCCAACAATGTCCATTTGTTAAAAAAATATATCTTTATTTATGGTTATTAATCGCGGTATTCATTTATCCTAAAAAGATGGGAATATTTTTGCACAAATTAAAAGTACCGAAAAGAAAAGAATAATTAGGTAAATCATTAATTCATTAGTTTGGGAATAAAATAAAAAGTGTTGCCAATCACAAATCTCATTAAAAAATCGATTCCCCTTTTTGATCGATTACTTATGGTGTCATTATTACAAGGCTAATATAATTTTTCGATAGTTATTATGATGTTACGATATATATTTAAAAGGACCGTTGACAATGGATATTTATCCAAAGCAGCCGATACGCAACCGTTATCAACCAGTGGTTTATCCGACTACAGACGAAAAAGGATTGTTATGTTTTTACTGTGTGTGCGGGTTAGGCTATGTTTAATCGTTTTTTGTTATGGTGCTTAAAAACGTAGGATGCATTTTATTATAGAGGGCGCTACTATCAAAGTAAAATACTTGACCAACTTTGAGAATTCTTTCACCACTAGATTGTTATGTATAATTTTAGATATCTAATATAGGATGAATTTTATTATAGAGGGCGCTACTTTCAATGAATACGTTTTTTGGCTAATCTCAAAAATTACTAGACCGATTTTGAAAATTCTTTCACCATTACATTGCTAATGAGGGCATTAGTTGTGTGATAAAATTATATTATTACAATAATTAATTGTGAGATAAATATTTTCTAAATAAATAAAACTAAATACCCACCTAAGATGTTCAAACCCAATTATTATTTTTGCAATTTAATAATCGTATTTGCACACTTTACTTACTCATATTGATTATTATAGATAAAGAGGTAATAAATCTAAAGTAAAAGATCTCCGCTTAAACGAAAAAACTATTTATTAAAATAAAACTAAAAGTTGAAAAACACTGGTTCAGTGCGAGTCGGACTCGCAGACCCATGAAGAGTTCTGTAGTAACAAGCATATATTTTAAATCGAGTCAAAAATACCACTATCATTATCGCCAGCAACAAATTATTTTGTTTTTCATAGTGTTTGTGTTAATAACAAAGTTGTTTTTGCGGTTCTTTAAAATGTGCTACTTGTATCTAAAAAAAAAGGACTATTATACATTATACGGGTTTCTGTGCTTTATTCATTACCAAAAAAGAAAAAACTTATTGCACAAAATGGGTTTTTATCCATTTCAAGTCATCAAAAGCGGTAGTCAACCGTTAAAAACAAAAACAACCGTTGTTATATGCTCGGTTGAAATCGATGACAACCTTCACATTTATAGTTATGATAATTAAACAAGCGAATTACTAACTGATTTACCAAGAATTCTTTAGAGTATAACAAAACGCTACTGCACAATTTAACTGTTATTCTTATCTGTTCTTAACATAACATTTAAAATGGAATTATGTTATGATAATTCAAGAAGTTAATTTCTAGCTGATTTACCATGAATTCTCTAAAGCATAACAAAACAATACAGCACAAGTTAACTGTTCTTAAAAATACGTTTGAAATTGAATTTCAATAAATAAAGGAAATTATATTTTAAAAAGCGTGCAGAACTTAAAACGCGTCAAAGATTATTCTTTTTATTGTATTATTATTATCGTTTCATAGATTTTATGACTGTTAAGTGGCAACATCGAATCTGACAGGTAGGCCCCCGTCACTGTTATGTCACAAGAATTCAACTGCGTGTTATCGTGTTATTTTGTTTTGTTGGAAAATGCAATTGTTGATCTCTCAACAATTGGATATAATTTTGGAGGTAAGTGTTTAACATTTTTCAATTTATTAAGATTGGTTTATTAAGTATGATGCTCATATCTGATATCTGATACATGTTTTTACACTGATTGTATATCAACTCAAGAACTTGTTTTATTTTTTCACTTCTGTACAAACTGTATCTGACAAACATACTAGCTTATTTATGAGATTGACCATTTTTATCAACTACCAAGAAAGGAGACCGTTGATTTTTCATTGTTTTTGGACTGCTGGTAGTCTGTCAGGTCTTAATTATTAAATAATATAGGGCATTAAGTCCATCCTTATGCAGTCACATTTAACTTGATAAATATTTTATTTATATTTGAGTTTAAAATAAACAAATCTATTTTTTTTTCACTTTGACTTCATTTTTTGTATTATACATTATTTCAGTTGCCGTTGTCATGCCGTGTGTATCATAATTGCTGGCAATGAACTTATAGAACAGCATCACATTCAACTGCAGAACGGGAACCATCTGAATCATCTAGTCCATCCTCTTTGCAATCTGAAGTGAGTAATGTATTGCACCCAGAACAACAAAGCTTAGATCATACATCACACAGTGTACTGCTAACTAATTATTTAAAAGCGCCACTAACACCAAATCAATGTTTTTACCTGGTTGTAACAATTCCAATGGACTCAATGTTCCATCAGCATTGCGAGTATGTCTCTTTTGTGATTACAATTACTATGTATGTACTATGTATTTGTATAACACACGTATACATGGTAGAGAAATGCTGAAGTTATATTAGAAGTATAGTTGTAGCATGAATGGGTCGGCTCGACCGGGGAAGGACCACGCTCTCACAGAATACCAGCGTAAAATAGTAGCTTAATGCTGCTGTGTTTTGTATGGTGAGTGTAGAGAACCGGAGACCCTTTTTACTGGAAATGAGAAAATGATCATACTCCTCACGAGTGACAACGCATCTGAATTTTGATTTGTAATAGAGGATAGATGTGGATGTCTAAGGGCCGCAGCAATGTCTCCAGCAGATGGTGAATCTCAGTTAATGACAAGATATGCTAATAAATCCAGAGCCGTGACTATGTGTCAATATGAGTAGTAGAGGTGGTGAATGGCATTTTTAAAGCTGAATTTAAAATATTTCATCAAAATTACTATAACAAGGCTTCTACACATATAAATGTAGACTTTAAAATGTTAGGGATTTTCCTGTTTTAACTTACAGCGACTTAATATTAATTGCTTGTGTCACGTACCAATTAAAGCAAGCTCGCTACTATTATGGTGAGCATATAAGATTTAATGGTTGCTACCGGATAGAACTCTGTGATAACCAGAGGAGCAGCATTATGGCAGGAATAAACTTAAGCCCTAGCTGATCTTTACTTAGGGCTAGAATTGCAAGTCATCGCCATTAGTCGTAAAGTGTATTTTATATATATTTTAATTAATGGCAATGGTTCTGGTAGAAGTACAATTAAAAAGTACTGTCGGCCGTCGAACTGTTGGATGCTGTGCCCATGTTATGACAGTAATATGGTATTTGGGTTGGGCACGGCATCAGACTAATATTTTGCTTCCTGCTCAATTCCTGAATGATGTATTGATGTGTAAATTAGAGGTAAATAATTCCTTAGCTTTCCTAGATGCGTTTCTCATCATCATCATCATCATTACAGCCCTTCACAAGTCCACTGCTGAACATAGGCCTCCCCCAAGTAATGCCACAAAGCACGGTCCTGAGCCACCTGCATCCATCGACTTCCTGCATGTCTTACCAGGTCGTCACTCCATCTAGTGGGGGTCGCCCTA